TGAAATTTTGGGAGGAACCTGCTTTTTTTTTCTTTTTTGCTTATGTAACCTGATAAAGCTTGATAAATTTGAATAATGATGTTTACAAGAGATCCAAATTCAGTCAGCTATTAAGCACTTAGTGATTTAGTACTGTAACACAGCCTATTCTGTAGGTTGTTAGAATAAATGGGAAGCTGGATATATATGTATGTGTGTTTGTGTATGTATGTGTGGATATATAAAATTAAAGATGGTGTGTATGAGTATATATATATGTATGTATGTATGTACATGTACATATATATATACCATCTTGAATTATTCAAAGGAAAGATGCTTGTATAAAAATAAGTTATTTATTCATTTATATATTTAATGGCCATATTTATAACCTGCTGAATTCCAGCAATTGCAGATTTCTGGCAAATATTTGAAATAAATACTAGGCATATTTTAAGTACATTTTAATTAATGAGGCAAGAGAAAAAAACTGAAAGAAATCATTTGGAACTAAGAAGAGAAATAGTCATCCTTGGTTTAAAGTCAGGAGAAGCGAAGTCCTCAGAAAAGGTGGTAGAGATGCAAAGTGCCAGGGGCAAGTCAGCAGAAACGTCATAGCATATACAGGGATGTTCATGGGGTTTGTGTTTGAAAAAGTCAACATGGCCATTAAAAGCTCTACTGTTCTTGTTCCTTATATTAATTGCACATGCAACATACCCCCAAAAAAAGTAAATCTGGTAGAGCTTTAATTACACAGTTGTGGCAACATGATCTTTATTCATTCATATCTTGTAGACACTCTTGAGAGTGGGTGTGTTGTGGAGGGCGAGAGTAGGGAAGGAACAACTGAGTTGTGTCCACTCAACTATCCATACCTACCCATAATTGAATTCTTACAACGTGCTGTTAACTGGAAGAATTTCTTCCCAGTTCCTTTGTCTTTGAAATAGTTCATGTGACGTATCGTGACGTTTTTCCCTTTGCGGAACTGGGGTGGGCGTGGCCTGTGCATGACTTATCTGGCCTGTTCGGGCCACCAGTTTGATACCCCTGGACTAGATTGTCTACATATCCATATTTGCTGCTGCTGCTGATCCTCCTCCTCTTCCTCCTCCTAGACTATGAATATCATTGGCTTGTGGGCTTCCATGTGATTGTAAGTTGTAGGTCTTTTCACTTGGTCATGGTTGAACTTGCCAGTTGTGGGGCTCCATTTTGCTTTGTCACAACAGCTGGCTGCCTTCTTCCAAGTGATTTGTTTGGCTGACAGTGGAAAAAATCAGATTGCTCATGCCACATATACTGGGGTCTCTGTACAGCTCTGGTGGGTGAGCTGTTCAGATGTGCCACTAGACATCAGTACTGTGTGCACTACTACTCTCAGCCAGTTCTTAATTTTGCTGCCGAACACTAACTGCTCATTGAACACTTGTGGCAATTGAGCATTGCACAATCAGTCTATGGATAGCAATAGTGTCCAGTGATGTGATCAAGAAGCCTCTCCCCCAGAATTGTAAAAGAATTTAGAGTAGACAAATTAGCATGACAGGCTAGCTGTGAGTAAGGTGATTCCTTCTGTTATCAGTCAGCTACTGCAGGAAAGTCACATGGAACCTCTTAACTGGACAGACCCAGAGACATCTTATGCAAAGGGAAAATTCAGGTATATTACACAGACAACCACAACAGAAGAAAGAGAGAAAAGGTGCTTGTGGGAGGGAGAAGAGAATCATAGGTTCTGGAACCTCACCCCTCAATTCCTATAAATCCAAGTTTTTGTTGTTTAAGATTTCATTATTTGCAGTGTTACACTGGAACAGATGTCTCACGGGCCACCCGAATGTAAAAAAACCTACCTAAGGCTTTACAAAATATTTTTTTTCACTGAATAGAAGATGATTATAGGTTGTCATCATGTTAACATATTCAAACTGTGGGTATTACAACACTGATTTCAGAAATTAATCTACAAAGAAAATAAAAAATTAGGTTAATACATTGTTTTCAGTTCACATCAAGGATGGGAAAAAATCTGAACAAAATAGTTTGTCTCCCTTATTTCAAAAAAGTCTTATCTATCATAACTGAATATAGTAATGATAATTATGCAAACCTAAGGCTTGTCTTGTGGGCCTAGTAATATAATACTGGTTTAATGTTATGCACCAGCATTCTAAATTAACTCAGAATGTTTTATTAACTTAACTTTGATCACCTGTGCCAGGAACACCTGCAAAAAGTAATAATAAATACCTGCCACATGCAATAAAAGGATGAAGATAACCTTGTAGCCCCATAGAGAAACTGAATAACTGAACACTCTTAAAAGCCTTTATTAGGACTTATTTAGTGGCGATACGGGCGGCAAAATGCTCACATTTTTCCACATTTATTGCATCCGCTGATTCGCGCCCAGCTGCCCTATTTAGGGTGACTCGCTCCCTCCTTAATGTAGGGGGAGTGGAGGAGCCCTTGCAGGGTCAAGCTGAGGAGTTTGTACAGTTTCTGTTGGATAAAGTCGCTCAGATTCGGATGGACCTGGACTCTGATTGGGCAATTTCGACTGAGATAATGGGGGCAGGTCTTAGTCCCATTGTGTGGGATGAGTTTGAGCCTGTGACTCCTGAGGAAGTGGGCAAGGCTGTAGGAGCGATGAGTTCCTCCACTTGTTTGTTGGACCCGTGCCCCTCCTGGCTGGTTTTGGCCAGCAGGGAGGTGACACGAGGCTGGCTCCAGGCTTTAGTTAATGCGTCCTTGAGGGAAAGGGCCTTCCCGCAACCATTAAAGGAAGCGGTTGTAAGGCCCCTCCTCAAGAAGCCTTCCCTGGATCCAGCAGAATGAAAGAACTTTCGTCCAGTCTCCAACCTACCCTTTGTGGGAAAGGTTGTAGAGAAAGTGGTAGCACTTCAGCTCCTGCGGTCATTGGAGGAAACGGATTATCTAGAGTCTAGATTCTAGACCCTTTTCAGTCTGGCTTCAGGCCTGGCTACAGGCTTTGGTCACGCTGATGGATGATCTCTGGCAAGCCCGAGATGGGGATCATTCCTCCATCTTAGTGCTACTTGACCTCTCAACAGCTTTCGATACCATTGACCATGCTATCCTTCTGGGACGACAAAGGGAGCTGGGAGTGGGAGGCACCGTGTTACAGTGGTTCTCCTCCTATCTCTCTGGTCGGTCACAGTTGGTGTTGTTAGGAGGACAGAGGTCGACCCCTAGGCCCCTCGTTTGCGGGGTGCCTCAGGGCTCGGTCCTCTCTCCCCTCCTCTTTAACATCTACATGAAGCCGCTGGGTGAGATCATTCGACAACACGGAGTGAGGTATCAGCAATACACGGATGATACCCAGCTGTATATCTCTACTCCGCGTCAATTCAGTGATGCGGTGGATGTGATGTGCCAGTGCCTGGAGGCTGTGAGGGTCTGGATGGGAGTTAACAGGCTCAGACTTAACCCAGACAAGACCGAGTGGCTGTGGGTATTGCCTCCTAAAGACTATGTCGCTTGTCCATCCTTGTTTCTGGGGGGGAGAAATTGTCCCCCTCAGAACGGGCTCACAATTTGGGTGTCCTCCTAGACTCACAGCTAAGATTAGAGCAACATCTGACAGCTGTGGCTAGGGGGACCTTTCCACAGGTTCGCCTGGTGCACCAATTGCGACCCTACTTGGATCGGGAGGTTCTCCTCACAGTCACTCATGCCCTTGTCACCTCACGGTTAGATTATTGCAACACGCTCTACATGGGACTACCCTTGAAAAGTGTTTGGAGACTACAGTTGGTCCAGAACGCAGCCGCGCGAGCTATTGTGGGTGCACCTAGTTACACCCACATTACACCAATTCTCCGCGAGCTGCACTGGCTCCCTATTGGTCTCCGGTCACAATTCAAGGTGTTGGTTATTACCTTTAAAGCCCTACATGGCTCAGGGCCAGGTTATCTTCAAGACCGTCTTCTGCCGCATAGCTCCCAGCGACCGGTAAGATCCCACAGTGTTGGTCTCCTCCGGGTCCCGTCAGCTAAACAATGCCAGCTGGCGGGCCCACGGGGGAGGGCCTTCTCTGTGGCTGCCGCAGCTCTCTGGAACCAGTTACCTCCTGAGGTCCGGACCATCCCCATCCTATTGGCCTTCGGAAAAGCGGTGAAGACCTGGCTTTTCCGGCAGGCCTGGGGCCATTGATCTCGCTCTTGTGATCTGGCGAGATCCGGCCATGAATGGTGTGGATGAATTTTTAATGTTTTTAATTTTTCAATTTTTTTTTATAATGATTTTTTAAAATGTATTGTGAGCCGCCCTGAGTCTTCGGAGAGGGGCAGCATATAAATTTAATTAATTAAATTTAATTAAATTAAATATGCAAGGAGACTGAGTAAAAACTATAGCTGAATAGCCCATTGTTGAAATATAGAAGCGCAATGACTGGGAAGGGCTGGAATTATTTATCTCTCAGAAAGTAGCGCTGTAGTCTGGAGAAATTATCTAGAATATACTAAGGCACTTGAGAAGTATTTTGGAAATATGAACAACGTGAAGGGACATTATATCATGCTTGGTGGACATGTACAAAAGCTAAAAATTCAGTTCTTCGGGCCCATCTGATATTTAAAAAACCCAGCAGTTCCCATGTATAAGTTGGAATGCCCATCTCCAGCTATGTTTTTTTACACATGTAGACAGCAAATCGTATTGTCTAGTTACATTTTATCTGTGGTTTATTTTGTTATTTACATATAGGATGCTTAGCGTGTTTCAAAAACATTTCAAATTTAAGCAGATGTCCATTAAAATGATACATTCAAATCGATCTATTTCATTTTTCTGCAAAAAATCTGGCAAAAATATGATAGAATATTTTTTAAAAAACTGAATGGCCTGTAAATTGAGCATCCTTTAGGCATCTGTCAAATTTTAAAATATTTTAATGTACAAGTTTTCATCCATATTGTTATATAAGATGATAGAAATCAAGAAAGAAAACAAATCGCTAATGTATTTTTTTTCTTTTTTGTTTGTAGTTGACTTGCCATTGTACTTTCCTCGAGATCAGCCAACTTTGACGTTTCAGTCTGTCTATCATTTTACGAATAGTGGAGAACTATATTCTCAAGCCCAGAAAAACTATCCTTATAGTCCACGATGGGATGGCAATGAAATGGCCAAAAGAGCAAAGTAAGTTATATTTGGGTGGGATAGTTGCGATATATACATTTTTGAACAAGCTTAGTGCTTGTCAGATTTGTTTACTTAAACATAATTTGACGTTCATGTTATTCTATCTGTAAGATAAAGGTAAAGATTCCCCTCGCACATATGTGCTAGTCATTCCCAACTTTAGGGGGCAGTGCTCATCTCCGTTTCTAAGCCAAAGACCCAGCATTGTCTGATGACAATTTCGTGGTCATGTGGCCGGCATGACTAAACACCGAAGGCTCACGGAATGCTGTTATATATACATACTCTAGCTATACATACCTGCTTTTTTCACTTCCTATTGCCTTAAATCCAGATTTCTTCCCATCCTTCAAATCACAAAAGTTCTTGCACAATGAATCAAAACGCCTATGTCACTATTCTTGTTCAACAGATTATAGAAGATCTCCAAGCTCCTTGCCATGTAAATTGCCATGTTCCCAAAATTTAAATTGCCTTAATGCAATAAGGAGTGTTTTCACAAAGAATAAAGCTCCGTGTCTGAATATAATCTTTTCAACAAGAATAGTGACACAGGGGTTTTAAATAGAGAAAAACAACCATATAAGAAAATTGAAATGGCATGCAAATGTATAATACAGGTTGTCCACAACTTACACCCAGTCATTTAATGGCTGAAGTTTTGGCACTCAGAAAGGTGCTTTATGATCTTGAAAAAGTCACCATCACTCTCTCACGATCACCTGATCCTGATCTTGGTGTTTGACAGCTTCTTCTCACTTACAGCTGTTTGCCATGTGCCCTGAAATCATGTGATTACCATTTGCAGTCGTCTCTGATGGTTTCTCCAGAAAGTCCACGAGGAAGCTAGCAGGAAAGCTGCTGTTTCCTCCCCTTTGTGCACAGATGGGGAAATTCTTTGTCAGGTTGGAAGAACGGAGGTCAGATCTTCAAGATCCAAGTTTCATTTCTGCAGTCCATAGCAGGAGTTCTGTCCCACACGTGGAGGGCAGGGGAAATCCCACAGCAGATTGCAGAAACAAACTTTGGATCTTCAGGATTGCAGTCGTTAAGGGAAGTGGTCACATGAACATTTCACCTAATGACCACTTTGCTCAATGACTGAGATTCCTGTCCTAATTATAGTTGTAAATCAAGGACTGCCTATAACAGATTATTTACTAGGAACTGGTCACAAGGGATATTAAGACCAGACATCATGGAAATTATAAATTGGTGCACTAAGGCATGTATTGCAGCTGGGTAATACAGTCATTTTGGGAATTGGATAGACCAAACAGAAATTTTCATTAGTTTGGTACTTTGCCTGCAGCAAGCCTTTCTAAAGACTCTTCACTTCATAAGTATATTTGAGCAGAAGAGTTAATATATTCAAATTTATGAAATCTACTTCCAATGGAATATTATAGACCTTCCAGCATTTAAGAGAAATACTTCTTTCCTTGTTTCAAAAAGTTAGAATTCTAACAATTAACTGTGAGTTGATATAGAGGTGTCAAGGTACCTACAAAATCCTGATTTATTGCAGATAAAAGGCATTTGTCAAATATGTTGAACTTCTGAAAGACTTGGAGTTTTCGGCAACCATCCCACTGGCTCAGATAAGCAAATAATGGTTTCTTCTATTCTTTTGTGCCCAAACCTATGGTGCAGTTATGCAACTATACTTATTAACCTTATTATACCATCATTCAACAAGTCTTTTGTTCCTAGTGTTATTGCTAAGCAACTGTTTGCTTCACTTAACATCAAGAGTTCAAATGCTTTGTTAAATCACTTCAAAAACCCAAGAAAATGAAAAGAAAAAGAAATAAGGCAATAAATCAAGGGCATAAATATCAGAGGAGGGACAAATGTGTAAAGGTGCCTTACATATAATCATCAAACTGCAAAAGTGTTGAAAGACCAATAAATTAGAGATTGCTGAGCAACATAAATCAATATAGCACCTAAATCTTTTAAGTGGCTAATTTGAAATGAGTTAGGAGAAAAAGAGAAAGCAATCATCAAAACATATGATATACCTTCAGACATGAAGGCAAGTGACTCATGAAAGTAAGTATTGTGGTTTTAGAGTAATATTTTATTTATTTAATATTTATTACATTTATATGCTGCCTATCTCCCATACAAGGTAAGTCTGGCTGGTTACATGGTGATTTTGGCGGTAATAAATTAGTAGTTAAGCCACTAAAATATAGGAAAGTTTTATCCCTGATAGTAATAGCAGAGATATAAATTGGAGCTGGAAGCTTTAATTGATTAGTTACTACACAATATTGGATTGATAAAAATATAATAAAAATAGAAGGATATCATTAATAATTTCCCAAGAATCTATATATAATCCCTTTCCTGGACCAATGGGCATTGCTCATAATCACTCATGCCTTGGTCACCTCCTAAATGGATTATAATACATATAATGCAACATGCTCTACCTGGGGCTGCCGTTAATGCACTCACGTTACACCTCAGTTCTGTGAGCGGCACTGGCTACTAATATGCTTCTGATACAATTCAAGATGTCAATGGAGGAGAATAGAGGTAGCTCAGGATTGAACTGTGGAGTCCTTGGTACTCTCTGAGCTTGTTGTCTGCTTGCAGAAAGCTCCAAGGATTCTACAATTCAAGGTGTGGTTGTCTCCTGTTAAAGGATTTTTGTCATTGAGCTGGGTTATTTTCAGGACTGCCTCTCTCCCGTTGGTTCTGTCCATCCCATTTGGCTTGGCAGGGAAGACATGCTGAGGGTCCCATTGATTATGTAATGCCATCTTTCCATACCCAGAAAATGTGCTCTTTTGGTCACAGTGCCTACTCTTTGGAACACTATTCCTTCCAAAATGAGAATGACCCCAATCCTGCCACGTTTTCATGTGTGTTTCCAGGTGAGGGGTTTAGACTATTATATGGAGCCAGTGAAGTTGTTAACCTGTGCCAGATTGGTTTACTTGAGTTGCTGTTACATATATTTAAGTTTTATGCTGTTTGGATTTGTATTTTGTGTTTAAATGTCATTGTCTTGGTTGGGTGCGTTTTTCTTATTTTGCCTTTCTAAGATATTTATATGGGTTTACTCAAAGTAGCAAAAGAATGGCTATAAATCAATATTTTTTCTTTATTCTTCTTCCACAAAAACTTGGGGAGTCTTAAATAAGACAAATGGTAGGAATTCACTGAAGGGCCTTACAAGTTTTAAAAAACATTTTGTGTAACTATTTTAGTATAATTTGGTTTCTATGTTGAATATAGCAATGTTCTTGGTCATTCTTTTCCCAATTTTATTAAATTTCAGTTAAGTACACATAAATCTTTCAATACAGTCCTATCCAGAAGATGAAATGTAATGAACAAAGCACTTTTTGGGGACATACCCTGTTTCCCCCAAAATAAGACATCCCCTGATAATAAGCCCAATCGGGCTTTTGAGCGCATGGCAATAAGGCCAAGCGCTTATTTCAAGGTTCAAAAGAATATAAAACACAGTCTTATTTTCGGGAAAACACGATAGATATCCTCAGACAGCAATTTTTCTGTTTCAAGATAATTAGCACCAGTAACATGACTTTCATGTTTATGAAAAGCACATTGAGTCTTGTATGTCAAATTTTCACAGCAGAAAAAAACAGCTGTGTGAAAACCAGGACAAAGTGAACTGATGGGAAGTGGGTTTTTTTTTAAAAAAGAAATACATTGGTGGTGGTGCTGTCTGCTAAGAATGGGTAGAAAAGAGGAACAAATGATAAACATTGGAGGGAAAAGATCTTCCATCCATCCTACCTCCTTATTTCCCATGTGATGAATGGAAGGGAACAAACAAGCATGGTAAAAAAGCTGAGAGAAAGATTTTATCAGTCAGATTTAGAAGGAGGCACCTATCCATTTCTTTTCTGTCTGCCAAAGGCATCTAGTAATTGTAGGAGAAGGTCAAAAATCCCTTCCCCTCCTTTCTCTTCTTACATAATGAAGAAACCCTCTAAGGCAGGGGTCTCCAAACTTGGCAACTTTAAGACTTGTGGACTTCAACTCCCAGCAAAGCTGGCTGAGGAATTCTGAGGAATTCTGGGAGTTGAAGTCTACAAGTCTTAAAGTTGCCAAGGTTGGAGACCTCTGCTCCAAGGTAGACCGGAGTAAGAAACCGACTCAGTATAGACATACAGCTAATTTTATTAGAACAGCTATGGTCACAGAATCTTATAAATGCCAATGTATTTCCCTTCCTCGCTTTTTTAACTTCATGTGAATTAACTAGGGGACAAGGGAGGAGGCTGCCTGAGGCAGTTTTGTAACATACTTTCAAAGGCCAGTTTAATTTATCTGATTGTCGCCTTGGTAGTGGTTCTTCTCTCTGTCCTTCAAAGCCATCCTCTATACTCAAACAGAAAACAGCTTGCTCAGTTTTTTCCCCTCTCTCGCTCTCTTGGCATTAGTGATAGTCAAACATCAGAAAAGGAATGTTATCTTCATGCCCAGATGTTGACACCTATCATTGGCCATTATGAGAACAAATGGACTAAATGCTGGATTGATTTGTCCTTGAATGGAGTCTATCATGCCTCCTCCTAGCTGTTTGGGCAAATTTAATTCATAAAAAGTAAATTTAGGATTACATCCCAGTAAAATTGGTGGAAAGCCGACATAAAGGAAATTGCTGGTTTTGTTAGCTCTCTTCCTCCTTCTCGACCTCTTCTTCTTTGCTTCCACCTGAAGAACTGAAGCTGAATTATATGTGGGGAAGGTGACGTCTGTGCTTTCTCTTTTATTAAGCTTTGAAGAGCCTTGGTTTAAAAGTATTATTTCTGATCTCAGATTTGAGCACATTAATCCTGTTAGTTTTTGTGCAGTGCCAGTTTGTACTTTTATTTTATTTCTGAAATTTGAATTGCTATCTTATTCAAGACTATGGATGATGTAACACAGAAGCAAATAAAAGCAAACAAGTGAACTGCAGTGTCATATTCTTATTACCCTACATCTTTCAATTATAGTTCGTAGTG